GTTCTTGGGGGGGAGTTTAACTTACTGGATGTCTGCTGGAAATACAATACAGTGGAGAGGAGACAGTCTAAAAGATTCCTGGAGTGTGTGGAAGTTAACTTCCGGACACAGTTGGTGAAGGAGCCAACTAGGGACAGTGCCCTACTGGACCTGTTGTTGCAAACAGAGAAGGACTTGTGGGTGATGTGATGTTGGAGGCCGTCTTGGGTACAGGAAGCATGAAATTATAGAGTTTTCAATTCTTGGAGAAGTAAGGAGGGGAGTTAGCAGAACTGCTACCTTGGGCTTCCAAAGGACAGACTTTGGCCTCATTAACAGAGTCCTTTGCATAGTTATTCCAGGAAGGCTGGACATTCTTCAAGAAGGAGGTCTTAAAGGCTCAAGAGCAGGACATCTCCATGTGCTGAAAGATGAGCTGGCGGGGAAGAAGACCAACCAGGTTGAACCAGTGAGCTTTGTCTGGAACTCAGGAAAAAAAAAAAGAGAGCTTATTACCTTTGGAAGTGGGTGCAGATGACTCAGGAGGGCTACAAGGATGTTGTGAGGTTATTCAGGGAGGAAATTAGAAAGGCCAAAGCCCAGCTAGAACTTAATTTGTCTACTGTAGTAAAAGACAATAGAAAATATTGCTATAAATATGTTAACAAGCAAAAGGAGGGCTAAAGAGAATCTCCATCCTTTATTGAATGTGGGACAAAACATAGTGACAAAGAATGAGGAAAAAGCTGAGGTACTTGATGCCTTCTTTTCTTCAGTCTTCAACGGTAAAATCAATTGTTCTTGGGGTGCCCAGCCCCCTGAACTGGAAGATAGAGATAGGGAGCATAATGAAGTCCTCATGATCCAAGGGGAAATGGTTAACAAGCTGCTACACCTTTCTGACACACACAGGTCTATGGGGCTGTATGGGATCCACCCAAGGATACTGAGGAAGCTGGTGGAAGTGCTCACCAAGCCACTTTCAAGCATTTATCAGCAGTCCTGGGTAATCAGGGAGGTCCAAGTTGACTGGAGAATAACAAATGTGATGCCCATCTATAAGAAGGGCTAAAAGGGGGATCCAGGGAACTGTAAGCTTGTCAGTTTGACCTCAGTGCTGGGAAGGTTGTGGAGCAGATCATCTTGAGTGCCACCACATGGCATGTACAGGACAACCAGGTGATCAGGCCCAGTCAGCATGGGTTTATGAAAGGCAGGTCCTGCTCGACTAACCTGGTCTCCTTCTACAACAGGGTGACCCACATAGTGGACAAGGGAAAGTCTGTGGATGTTGTCTACCTGGACTTTAGTAAAGCCTTTGACAGTGTTTTGCACAGCATTCTCCTGTAGAAACTGGTTGCTCATGGCTTGGACAGGCATACTCTTTGCTGGGTGAAAAACTGCCTGGATGGTTGGGCTCAGGAGTTGTGAATGGAGTTAAAACTAGTTGGTGGCCACTCACAAGTGGTGTTACCCAGGGCTCAGGATTGGGGCCAGTTCTGTTTAATGTCTTTATCAATGATCTGGACAAGGGGATCAAGTGCACCCTCAGTAAGTTTGCAGATGAGGCCAAGTTGTCTGGAAGCGTTGATCTGCTGGAGGGTAGGAAGGCTTTAGGGAGGGATCTGGACAGGCTGCATCGTTGGGCTGAGGCCACTTGTACGAGGTTCAACAAGGCTGAGTCCTGGTCCTGCACTTGCATCACAATGCTATGCAACGCTACAGGCTTGAAGAAGAGGGGCTGGTAGCCTACCCAGTTGAAAATAACCGGGGAGTGTTGGTTGACAGCCGGCTTAATATGAGCCAGCAGCGTGCCCAGGTGGCCAAGAAGGCCAACGGCACCCTGGCCTGCATCAGAAATAGTGTGGCCAGCAGGACCAGGGAAGTGATTGTGCCACTGCACTCAGCACTGGTGAGGCTGTACCTTGAATCCTGTGTTCCGTTTTGGGCCCCTAACTTAAAGAACGACATTGAGGTGCTGGAGCGTGTCCGAAGAAGATCAACAAAGCTGGTGAAGGGTCTGGAGCACAAGTCTTAGGAGGAGCGGCTGAGGGACTGGGGTAGTTTAATCTGGAGAAAAGGAGGCTAAGGGGAGACCTGGTTGCTCTCTACGACTACTTGATTGGAGGTTGTAGTGAGGTGGATGTTAAGTGATAGGACATGAGAAAATGGCCTCAAGCTGTGCCAGGGGAGATTTAGATTGGATATTAAGAAAAACTTCTTCACTGGAAGGGTTATCAGGCGTTGCAGCGGGCTGCCCAGGGAAGTGATTGAGCCACGATTCTTGGAGATATTTAAAAGACGTGTAGATGTGGCATTTAGGGCCATGGTTTAGTTGTGGACTTGACAGTGCTACGTTAATGGTTGGACTCAATGGTCTTAAAGGTCTTTTCTAACCTAAATGATTCTATGATTCTAAATATACAGTTGTCTCATTTTGGCAGAGGCTTGAGGCTTAAGGGATTGTGAGTGAGTGAATTTTTTCAAATTTCATGGTAACTGCTCTCAATGTCTGGGATGATTAATAGAATTTGAAACAACAATTCTTGCACGCCAAGAAGCCTGCAGGTTTTTATCTTTCAATCTCCCATCTCTTTTACATAATACTTCACTTTCCTTTCCGTGGTAATTTGTTAATCTTGCATTATTACATATTCTCTTTGTCTTAGTGAGGTCCTTGTGACTACAAATTCTGACTAATTGGGACTTCATCAACTTGATTTTAATAAATTTCAGTTCATTAAATTTATTTCCCTGTGTATCATCATCATGCTTTATCTGGAACATAATTATTTCATACCAGATCTCAATATTCGAATATTCGAGGAATATTCGAAGATTGCACTAAAATACATGACTATGAGAAAAGACCACATTAAAACTACTTCTATGGGGGTATGAAGACAGTAATTCAATGTAAAGACTCTAATGGGATTTAAATTAAAAATGTTTTCATAAGAGGCATAAGTTTTATAATTATTTGGAACTGTGCTCGAAGTATGTTTCTAACCAACAATTCTTTGAAAAAAAAAAAAAGAAGTGAGAACTCAACCTGTGATTACTGTGATTACAACAGTGAATAATGAGTTAAATACAATTTCCAACTCTGTATTTTTTAGCAGTACTGATGTGCATGCCTGTTAGCAGTCAAGGCAGGGATGCTGAAGACTGAATCAATGAATATTGAATTATCCTCCTTCTGTTAGAGGATGCTTCTTCAGTGCAGGGTTGAGATGCACTGAGATCAGGAATTTTGCTTTCAAGTTGCCTGTCCTGTAGACAAGGGGAGGAATTCAGTTGCCACTACTCTTGGTTTAGCATCCTGAGTCCTTAGTTTAGAAGGGTGACTACCACAAAGGTGTATAGACAGAGAAGTAAACAAACTAAATCACTTTGGTTGCTCTTGCATAAGAAATCTAAGAGCTTGCTAGAGATTCTGTAGAACACTGAGAGCACTGTTGGCATCAAATAATAAAAATGAGAAGAAAAGTGAGGAAAGTTTTCAGTGTCCTTTCAAATTGTTATAAAAAACAGAATAAAATGACAACTTTGATTATTGTCACTTCTTCCCTCCTTCTCCCCACCCCCCTGCCTCTACTGAAGACACTTTTGTGGGATCTTTCACTGCACATGAGTTTTGACCAAGGCATGCAACAAAGGTTTGAAGTTACCCTTGCCTAGTTTTCTGAAGATGTACTTAATAAGACTTTGTTTTCATTTCTAGCTGTTCTTCCATTTACTTTTGATTGCTTTGCTACTGCCAGCCAGAATTAGAAAGATAACATTTGTCTCAAAAGTAATTGTCTTTTAAAAAATCAGAAATTAATGACTTAAATAATCTTAAAACCATGTGTAGAGTTGGATATTCCTTAAAATAGTTGGACAGAGACTTGAGAGAAAGACAAGTGGAGCTATTGTTATGCTTGGTGTTTGGTACCAGACAGCCTGTTGTAATGTGAATAACTCCAGCTAGCCATAGTAATGCTCTTTGTCTCAGTTGGGTGTTCTAGTGACAAAGTGACACAGAAAAATCTAGGAGAGCAAGGACACACCCTTGGGTATAACAAGTTTCAGAAGTCAGTAATTTTTATTTTTTTTTTTAAGTTTTGCAATATTGAATACTCTCAATATTGATAATCTAGACCACAGCTTCTGGAATCTGACTTTCTGTTTTGATCTAATCCTGATGGTTTCTGTATTATTTTTCGTTAAGTTTGTGGACTTTTTAATGCTGATTAAATAGGAGCATAATGAAACACTTTAAATCTATTCTTTATCCATTTTTTGATCCATATCAGAAATCTTTAAGATTTGTTTTAATATATGATGTTTACTTCATCAGATATACTCCTTTATAGTCTTTTATTTAGCCTTCTGGAGTAAAAGAAAGGCCTAATTTACTACTGTCTCAAACTTTAATGCATTTTTTCAGTGTCTTGTGTTGTTTTTTTTAAATTATGTTGTCCTGATAATTCATAACTTTATTTAAACAGCTCAAGGCTTTGTACTTCATCAGACAAAGCCAGGGTCAGGATACATAACCTTTTTCCTATCTAATTTCTCAAGAAAAAATCTGTCCCTTCTTTTGAGATTTGCTCTTTTCACAGTTAATTTATGTATTGCTAGAGAGGGAAGAATGCAGATGATTTGCACCAAGTTTTCAAAACAGAAGGAATTATCAACAACTGACTGTTTTCAGAAATGTCAATTTTGGATCATAGGCTTTAACTCCAAAAAAAGACCAATATGCATACCTAACCTAGCTTATGGAATACTAATGAAAACATTTTATTTAGCCGTTCATCTTATTTCTATAGAAATTTTACATATATTGTTAAAATATTTTTTGGGTCAGTGCATTTACTGTTTTGAAGAAGCTTGGGCAGAAGACCGAACAACTATCTCTTTGAAAGCATATAAATCTTGCATGAAATTGTGGTGCTATATGTTGCTTCCTTAATGAATAAAACTGGTTGATTCAGATATTCTGTGTATGTTTTTGTCATTTTGTCTTTTGGTAGGAGGATGAGGTGGTGGAAGAATATAGTGAAAATAATTTCTATGAATCTGACGAAGAACATAAGGAAAAAGATCGGAAAGTGAAAAACACCTATACTATGGACCCAGATCACAGGCTGCTGTTACGAAATACAAAACCCTTGCTTCAAAGCCGAAATGCTGCTGTATGACAAATTCCTTTTTTATTAAAACGTTAAACTACTAAATATCTATGTTTCTAGAAAATTTGAAAGACTGAAAAGTAAAACCTCTTTTAAAAAGTGGTGATAATACTCTCTACTAACTTATAGAAGTACAGTTTTTCTCTTTTTTGAAATTAATGTAGCTTCTAAGTAAAACACCTGAGCTGAATGTGATATTAAGGACAAACAAAATATTAGAGAAACTACAAGAAGATTTGAATCCAACTTCTATAGCATGTGGTGACTATACCAGAGCTAGCGTTTAATGCTTAAGTTCTCAGCAACTAGGATGGCACAAACCATCAATTTTGGCGGTACAGATTCACAAAGAAAGCAGTAGTTATTGATTCATTAAGTAGTGCTTTCCTTTGAGTCTCATGTTGTAAAAGTAGGCAGTTATATGCCTAAATTCTTTGTCAATCCAAGGCACATTCTTAGTGTTGGTGCTTTGGCAGGGTTCCAGGATAGATATGACATCAGGGGTATAGTACACCCTGCAGTATTTCCATGAGATTTTAAGATGCAGCTAAATTTTTAGAACTAGAAAAAGCCTTGCTGATGGTGAATCGTTGTGACATTATTCAGATCACAGAACTTTATTTTTAACCACAGTTTGCTCTGTTAATCAAGACTAGATGTCTTCAGGAAAAGACTTGCTGTCGAATATTCATGTTGTTGCAAAACCAATTACTGCATCATGATTAAGTCACCTCCCAACCTGGTCTTGGTAAGCTAAACCGATCAGGTTTTTGTTTCTCTCCTGCAACATATTTCTAGATTCCAATTAATGTCTTAACTCTTCAAAACCATTTATAATCTACCAGCAGACTTTGGAAACAAATTGAATGGAGTTTTACAATAACAATTTGGTTAGAGCACAGGCTTTTGCTAAAATCACTGTTCAGTGTCTATACAATATCTCCTTATCTCGTGCAAAGAACATTAGATGTGTTTGGCGTCACACAGCAGACCGAACAGGTTCAGTTGCTTATCTTCCACATTCCATAAGTAATTTTCTTTATATCTGTTAAATATGGTATTGATTCTCGCATTTATGTTCTTTAACTTTCTGATATTAAAGGTAAATGAGCTGTCTTAATTACCCTTTTTCAAGCACAGTCATACTTCTTTGAATTGCTGTTACGCTAATTTTTGTACCATTCACAGAATTTACCAGCAATTAGATTAATTGCTTTCACTTTGACCTTAGATTTTTGTCAGTAATAAAAGATCCTTGTAGTATACTGCTAAAAATCTTCCAGTTATTTCCTCTTTTCAGATGTTTGTAATCACTTTTTATTGTTTACTAATAATTTTTTTTTCATTGGTACTAAGATTTAAGATACCAAGTCAAATGTCATAATGATGGCTTTACTTGTAGTCTCCTTTCTATGATTTGTTCCAATTTGAGCAGAAAGTTGGCTGTGACAGTATTGTAAGGAAGGTTGTGACATGACTTATTGATTAGCATAAAGTTCATTGTTTGTCTTTCACTTATGAGAAAACTCGAAAAGAAAAAAAAATGGTTTTGAGTTGCTTATATCTTAGTTATCTACTTTTTGCTAGCCAGGTATACAGCCCTGTAGTTATTACTTTCTGTCAGGTTTGAGACTTTAGAAGTTGCAGTGAAGTTAGCTGTCATTTTATAAATTGCATAATTGAATAATGGAATGAAAGATTTTAAGTGTAAACTAAATAGGTGATATTGAACCTATATTTAATAAAAATAAAAGCACAAAATTTGCAGAACTTTTAAACAGTATTTCCTCATTAATTTGTACAGCTGATGTTAGCAATACTGACTTATTAAACATGATATCAGTATGTTTGCAATTTGAATTACCTACATTTTTTTCTCTCTTTTTCCCTCTTTGTATGTCTTTCTATATATTATAATATACAGTAAGTACAGGGAGGAATGAGAGGTACTTAATTAGCTGTGATTTTAGAAATAAAAATATCTTTCTTCTGATGTTTTTCCCCCTAATCTGCTTTGTTGATTTTGAAGAACATGGGAGTGCACTGTGCTTTCTGAGTGAGTTGGTAGTTCTGCAGATTTGAAGCAAATGTAATTGATATCTCTGAGGATTTGAAGTTAACATGCTGTTCTGAATGTTCTTTGTTTAGGTGGTAATGGCAGTTGCACAGCTTTACTGGCATTTGGCGCCCAAATCCGAAGCTGGTATGGTTTCTAAGTCATTGGTGCGTTTACTCCATAGCAGTAGGTAGGTCAAGTAGCTATTTTATGTTTACTGTTTTGTGAGAGTTTTTCATACGTACTTGTTTAGCTGTACCCATAAGAGTGTACCTATTACGCTATTAGAGTTTCATTTTAACTTTGTCCTGTAATATTAATTTTTAATCAACAATTGAGGATCATTAAAAGTAATTTAATCATTTTCAGTATCTCATCCAGTGATCATTCAATATCATAAGTGTTTAACTCTTAATTCTGACTTTCATTCTGAGAAGAATCATGGCTGTGTAGTTGGCATACAAATAGAGGCAGTGCTAACTAGTTTCCTTAGGTTTTTTTTGTTTTTTTTTTCATTTTTGGAAATCATTGGAAATTTAATTATATTGGAGTTCCTTACTGTCTTGCTAGGCACCAAAGAGTTCAGATGTTTATTTTCTTTCCCTGTACTTTGTATTGAAGACTTCTTGTTCACAGAGAAACTAAGAAACATAGTTGTTAAAATACCACTTGATACTGCTGAATCCTCTATGTTTAATCCTTACACTGTTTTTAAAGAAAAAGTTTATATTTCATTCAGGACAACTAATTTTGACTTTATTACGTTCAATGTGACCTTGTCTACTTTGCTCTTAAGGGTCTCTCTGGGCACATATTTCATAAGATTGAGAATACTGTACTTTTCTTTGTGTTTGATATTTGGCATATCGTGGCAGTATTTGCTGCATAAATGTGGGGTTTTTTCCCTTCAGTTTTTAGATTTTGAACTTCGATGTGTCTGTATGAAAAGCCGTGAAGGGATGATAGGAGACACAGTATTAAGATGTTTTCAGAATAACTTTCTAACTAAACATTCTTGGCTAGAACTTCACTGTGAAAATGGTTTCTTTCTTAAAGTTGGTTACATGAAACATACAAAAAGAATTTAAAAATCACTTTTGTTGTGTCTGACAAGATTACTTGGCTTAGATGGACTTTAACTTTTGTAAGCCCAGTTACCATACAGCTCTTTCTCTGTAAACTTTTGCAGCTCACCCATGGCTAACATCTCTATCATTTACAAGTTAGACTGGTGAAATAAAATTGGGCTTGGTAGATTAGTAATGCTTTTATTTCAGGTAAAACCGAAATAAAACACAGTTGTTTTTTGTTTGGTTTTATAGTACAGTATACTTCCCATTCTCTTTATGCAAAGATAAGTAAAATGGCTAAAGCAGTTTGGCATTATGTACAGAATGTATAGAACTGAACTCATACTTACATGTTGAAAGAATTATTTTTGCATGTTGTTTATTGCTCATTTATATTCAAATTTCATCAAAAGAGAAGTCACATCTTTCCTATACCTCAGCTAATGCCTAAAATGGCACTAGTCTTCTGATTTTCCAATCTTAAATGGCTTGTCTGTTCTCTGTTACCAGTCTATGTGAAGCACTTTTGCTATTAGAGCCATTTTGAAATAAGCTTTTGCTGTTTGCCCTTGAAGTTATAAGCCTATGGCCTTTAAATTAATGCCAAATACGCAACAATCCAGTAAGGGTGAGAGTGCCTAGAGGAGCATTTCATAGCAATTTCCAGTCTTGGTTCGTCATCTGCAGCTGATTATTTCCATGTACCTATGTAAGAATTACAGAGAAACAGGTTTAAAAGATATTAAGTAGTTCTCTTTATTAATTTTTTTTGTAAGCAACAGCTGTAATTGCCACAGGGCTATTAGACAGTTTTGAATAAGAGGAGATAATGGATGCAATGATTTCTCTATTAGGATGTGATTTGCATCATGAAAGAACTTAAACACTCATGGTTCACAAAAATTATGTGTAAATTATTACTTAGTTTTTAAGCAATTGGTGGCAGAAACTCTGTAGTTTAAAAGCTTTATACTAATACCTAGATTTCTTTTTGCTCACTCCTGCTGAGGCTTTTAGACTAATGCATATTTAATATTTTTGTGTTTAGAATATTATGTAATTCTGTTGTCAGTATCTTGACAAAGTCTATTATGTTAAAATGCTTTTTGATATACATGTATGCCTGCCAGTATATTCTAATTCACAGGAGACTGTGGCCATTTTGGGAATTATTATGAAATTTTTGGAAGTCAAAAAAAGTCATGGCAGTTCTTGCTAGTTGTGCAACAATTAGCTGTTCTTGTACCTAATGCAGTAATTTCCACACTACAAATAAAGCCCGTGTGTTTTTATTCTCAGCTGTGTCATCCTGAAATGTTTAGTTTTCAAGATGGTGGACAAAATGTAAGGTTTTTGTGAGCTATTTCTGGAGATGCCAGAATGGCAATGTCTTAAACAAATTTTTGGTAACAGAGACCCAAGGTGTACAGGAAGCATTGCACCATTGCATTGCTATCAGTCATTTGTTTTGCAAAATGAGAGCTTGGTTTAATCATGTGTCTTACCGTGAAGCAGCTGATGAACTTGTGGCAGTTGACAATAAGCTTCTTCCTGCTATGTTATGCTAAGTCAAATGTATAACTAACTTGGGATTCAAATAGAATTGGACTTTCTTTACCATATTGCATTATTCTGTGTGTCTGTAATTTTGAACAATAACTCTTGTTTTTCTTTTCAAATTCTAGGGAGGTGCAGTATATTGTTCTACAAAATATTGCCACTATGTCAATTCAGAGAAAGGTATACCCTATTTAGAATTGTCTAAATCACCTTTAGATGAAAAACAGGCAAGCTACTTAAATAAATTCTGCTTTTCAGGGTATGTTTGAACCTTATCTGAAGAGTTTCTATGTTAGATCAACTGATCCAACAATGATCAAAACACTGAAGGTAAGTGTAAAAGCTAATTCATCTATGTACCACTGGACAAATCTGTTTGCAACAGGAAGGTAAAAACTTCTTGCACTGATATGGCACACATCATTCTGTGCTGTTCCTTTTTTTTCACTGGGAAGTGTAGAGTTGTGGCTTTTAGTTAAGTCCACAAGTGTCCTTCAGGCTTGTCAGGCTATCTGAAAGTTCTCGTTACCATGCTGTAGATGGCAAATGGGCTATGTTTTCCACTACAGATTTTGGTACCTTTAAGTGACACAGAACATTTCTATTTTTATCTTACCAGCCATTCAGACATCTCGAATTTGACTGTTTTAATGGGAGACAGAATCTTCTCAAATGAAGAGAAGTGAAATCACAGAGTCTTTGATACTGTTAGTTTAAAAAGAGTTTACATCTGTTTCCCTGAACAAAGTGGAACAGTGTTAACAGTTCCAAATTCCATTTGAAGTGAGCATTTGATATAAGAAGTACTTTAGGCTTTCTTCAAGGCCACATCTCAATACATATTTTAGGCTGTTCTTGTTTTGTCTATTCTTAGTCTTCAACAGAGGTGAAATCCTTGAGAAAACAATAGCCAAAAACTGTCAACTATTATGTGTTTTTTCTCGTTTTGTTTTAGATTGTCGTTGGCACTTGTGTTTAGGAGTGGAAGGTACAGGTTTCTTAAAGAAACATTATTTTTCCTTATTTTCATTTTACATCCATGTAAATCATTATAAATTATATAAAATATTTATATAAAAATATAAAT